AGAGGATGAACAGAAAGGTGTAAATAGAAATGTTGTCTCACAAGCAGATAATATGACTGAACTAATTGAAATATGTTCAAATCATTGCACACTTTGAGATCTACTGGCTCACTGTGGTTGAAATCACATCCACATAAATAGCATTTAACATGTATTTACCAGCTCAGAAATTCAACAACAATATTGATAAGAATGATAATTTCTTACACACATAGAATTGCTCTTAAATTATATTGCTTTTTAATTAATTAAAGAAAACAGAAATATTATTTGCATAAACGAATAAAGTAAATACGCTGTCCTTGCCGGCCGGGCTTCAGACGACAATATATCATGTTGGGTTTGTGATGGCACCAGTAGCAGCAATCTCAGGATCTAGGCAGCTGATCAATGCAAGGTAGATGTTGGCGTGTGCATCCACTGACCTTCTTAACTAACTTCCCCTCTGACACCTCCACGGATGATATGCTTTTGGCTTCGGTCATCTTTGCAGCCCAGCTCGCACACACAGAAACGTCCTCTTTCTCTCTGCCTCTTCCTGTCACACTCTTGTCCACTCTTCCTCTTTATCTGTCCCTAGAGCATCTGACGCTGGTTGATAATCTGAGGCGTATCTTTCCCTGTTGTTGCTCCTCCTCTCATCCCTCCCCCCCGTATCTGAATAATCACTTTTACATCCGTCAGCTTCCATCCATCTTTTTTGTTTGTTTCTCTCCCTGTAAATATCAGGGGTGGATTTGAAACGAATTACAAATACTCACGTTACTGTAAGTAAGTAGATTTTTGGGGTACTTGTACTTTTAAGAGTATTTTCTTCAAGTGTGTAATTTGACTCATGCTTGAGCACAATTTACACCATGTAATCTACTTTGCTACTTTTAAAATCAAAAGTCGCTATTGAGTATGCCCACAATTTAAAATAATATTCAAACCGTCAGATTTTTTTTTTTCAATGCAATGCATTGGCTGTCAGATCGCGACGGCGCAATTATTCTAAGATGTAATATAAGCAAAGGCCAACTCGCTGCTGCAGCAGGCAAATGTTTCTGGAGGTAAAATACACAGCGGTGTAAAGAGTGGACTGAGAATTTGAGAAAGAAATGGAAGGAGATTATTAAAAGAAAGAATGATGATTATGATTACGGCCAAGTGTTTAAAAAAGACATAAAGGACATAAAGGATCTCCTATAGTCCATCCACTGTCCCATAGGTCGAGACCCCCTAGTGGCCTGGCGAACTTCCGTTGTGTTTCTTTGTGTTTTTTTGATTGCCGCATTTTTCTCTTGCGGCGTTTTACAGTTGGATTTGTTTTGCTGTTTGCAACACGTTGGCGCGTGTCGGCCACCGTAAAATTGCCTCTAATTTTTCTATATTGTTCGTCTGAGAAATGTGCTTTGAATTTGAATTTTAAACATCGAATGTCTGCTGTTGACGATGCAATAAAACATCCATCGGTCAAAAAGTAATTTGTACTTTGAGTAGTTTATGAGAAGAGTACTTTGTACTTTTACTTAAGTATTTTTTAACACTAGTGCTTTTACTTGTAATTGAGTGCCATTTCAGCAATGTAACAGTACTTGAGTACAAATTTTCAGTACTCTTTCTACCTCTGGTAAATACACCTACATCACAAAGAGGATCATTCAGCTTCAGAAGATGTCTGTTTTTGTAAACCTGGGGTGTTCATTAGCATGTTAATTCATGTGTATCTCCCTGCATGTGGGGATACATTCACTTTTCAATTGATTCAACATTTCAAAAAATTCAAAAGAATAGACGTATTTCAGTTGTCTTATTTGAGCTTGCCACTATTTTCTTTCCGAGTATGCAACATCTCTGATAATCCCATATTTATTTTCCTATCTGATCTTGTCGCCTTCGACACTGTTGTAGGCAGCAACAGTTTTGGTTGAATTTTTAAAGAAGGAATGCAGTTTAAAACGATTTCAATCAGGAGAGACTTGGCCCGAATTGACAAACATTTAGTACACATGTATAACATCGAAATAGTGTAAAATCTTTGGCGATTGGTATCCATTCTAAACCCGGATAATCAAGGAGCCGTGATGCCGAGTTCTGCAGAATCCCCCTCTGGAGTCCAGACACTGGTGGGAGGGGCTTTCAGTTTGTTCAAACTTTCTCATTTGATTTTTCAACTTTTGGCACAATCTCTGCTTGCTTGTTTTGTGCATTAAATTATCATTAAATCCAGATCCCACAACGGATCCCCGAAAAGGAGAAAAACACCAGAGAGAAGAGCTCAGCGGATCAAGAGCTGAGAAGTAGCTGAAATAGAATGCCGATAGCATTTTATACGACCAAACCCATGAACTTAGCTGCCCATATTTAATGACCGACTGAGCAATAATCATATTGTTAGAAGATATTCAAACTGTCCACTGTAGTAAACATGTAAACAGGATAATTATTGCGAAATAGCTGCTCATTGGCACGAATTTGGACGACCTTGGTTACAGATAAAAGTAAACGTCCCACGAACTCACACTTCTACACTGTGGATTGGATCGAACTCTCCTGGTTGAATCATCAGCTTATTAAAAATGACGATGCCATATTATGTCAAGTATCAGTAACAATTTCAGCCAAGCTATTGTTTAATTACAAGGGCATTCATAAATCAATGCAAGGGAATGGCACCAGTTGTGCAACAGTACCTCAAATTCACAACTATGTCTGTGTTAATGTGTGTTGCAATTTCCGATCTAATGAATCACAAGGAAGGTTATAGTTTCAGAAAAACAACCCAAGACCATAAATCTGATTTAAAAACCAAGTTCCCTCCCACTTTCTCAGCAAAAGTGCAAGCTGTAGCATGCTGCTGCAACTATATAGTCGGACAAAAAGGAACACCCTCTGTCTTGAGGATTTGGCTTTAAACTTGAGAGCAAATCAAATCCTGCTTTGGTGCCCAAAGGTAAGTAAAATACTAACATTGAAAAAAATATGTGGACTTTCTTAATTTACTTAAGTAATGTTGTTACAATGTGTTTATACTATACAGGGGTTTTCTTGACATTCTTTACCTCCACTTTGAAGAGAAAATAGATAAGGATCACATTCCGATCAGTTTCTTATCGACGGTAAATGTAACGTAACCCTTTTTGCCATCTGGGTGCCTAAAATGATTGTTGCTGCTTAATAAATCAAGTAAACGTGGTAGAGAACACACACACACACAGATTATGAGCGAAACATTATAAGAGTCTTGATTATTTTTCCATAAGTACACATTATAATATACATGCTGCATTTCTTCTCATTAATATTATTTCTCTTTGGTTGAATTAGTATGCAAATTATTCTTGCTTCCATGCTTGTATGCCCTGCAAATGTGTATATGTATAATATATACTAACGTGCATCCGGAAAATATTCACAGCGCTTCACTTCTTCCACATTTTGTTATGTTACAGCCTCCTTCCAAAATGTATTAAATTCAATATTTTCCTCAACATTCTACCACAACAACCCATAATGACAAAGTAAAAACTGTTTTTTGCAAAATTTTTGCAAATCTGTTAAAAATAAAGAACGAAAACATGACATGCACTTAAGTATTCACAGCCTTTGCTCAATACTTTGTTGAAGCACCTTTGGAAGCAATTACAGCCTCAAGTCTTCTTGGGTATGATTTCACAAGCGTGGCACACCTATTTCTGGGCAGTTTCTCCCATTCTTCTTTGCAGAACCTCTCAAGTTCCATCAGGTTGGATGGGGAGCGTCGGTGCACAGCCATTTTCAGATCTCTCCAGAGATGTTCAGTCGGGTTTAAGTCAGGGCTCTGGCTGGGCCACTCAAGGACAATCACAGAGTTGTCCCGAAGCCACTCCTTTGTTATCTTGGCTGTGTGCTTCGGTCGTTGTCCTGTTGGAAGATGAACCGTCGCCCTAGTCTGAGGTCCAGAGCGCTTTGGAGCATGTTTTCATCGAGGATGTCTCTGTACATTACTGCATTCATCTTTCCCTCAATCCCGACTAGTCTCCCAGTTCCTCCCGCTGAAAAACATCCCCACAGCATGATGCTGCCACCACCATGCTTCACTGTAGGGATTGTATTGACCAGGTGATGAGCAGTGCCTGGTTTCCTCCAGACATGATGCTTGGCATTCATGCCAAAGAGTTCAATCTCTGTTTCATCAGACCAGAGAATTTTGTTTCTCATGGTCTGAGAGTCCTTCAGGTGATTTTTTTCAAACTCCAGGCGGGCTGTCATGTGCTTTTTACTGAGGAGTGGCTTCCATCTGGCCACTCTACCAAACAGGCCTGATTTGTGGAGTGCTGCAGAGATGGTTGTCCTTCTGGAAGGTTCTCCTCTCTTCATATAACAACGCTGGAGCTGTCAGAGTGACCATCGGGTTCCTGGTCACCTCCCTGACTCAGGCCCTTTTCCCCCCATCGCTCAGTCTGGCTGGGCGGCCAACTCTAGGAAGAGTCCTGGTGGTTCCAAACGTCTTCCATTTCCGGATGATGGAGGCCACTGTGCTATTTGGGACTTTCAATGCTGGAGAAATCTTTCTGTACCCTTCGCCAGATCTGTGCCTCGATGCAATTCTGTCTCGGAGGTCTACAGATAATTCCTTGGACTTCATGGCTTGGTTTTTGCTCAGATATGCACTGTCAACTGTGATACCTTATATAGACAGGTGTGTGCCTTTCTCAGTCATGTCCAATCAACTGAATTCAGCACAGGTGGACTCAATCAAGTTGTAGAAACATCTGAAGGATGATCAGTGGAAACAGGATGCACCTGAGCTAAATTTCGAGTGTCATGGCAAAGGCTGTGAATACTTATGTACATGTTATGTTTTCGTTCTTTATTTGGAACAGATTTGCAAAAATTTGCAAAAAACAGTTTTCACTTTCTCATTATGGGTTGTTGTGTGTAGAATGTTGAGGAAAATAATGAATTTATGAATTTAATCAATTTTGAAATAAGGCTGAAACATAATAAAAAGTGAAGCCCTGTGAATACTTTCCGGATGCACTGTAGACTATAATTTTGTGTTCATTAAAGGGAATAAGTAATACTACTAGATTTCTAATTTCCTTTTAATTGACTCTAAATTGGAGTGGTTTAACTAACCCATGTAGTAAGTTAAATAGTAAAGCTAGAATTGTTTATGACTATGTGGCCAAATTTGATTTACATTTTAACTGAACTTTTCTTGAATTCTTGTTCTCATATTATTTAATACCACTGATTGTAAAACTGCTTATAGGATGCATCTGGTGACACTTTTGTTCTTAAATTCTTCCCACCTTCCTTTTTTTTTTTTTTACTTGAGCTCAATCTGCCAACTTTATATAAAGTACATGACACAGAAGGGGAGAAAGAAGAAATAGTTCCAAAGCAAGAAAGAGCCTAAATAATCTTAACTGAATGGCTGAGAGGAAAGTGGAGCTTTGCATGCCAGTTTGGTCCGTTAGGTTTAATCCCGCTGTCTTTACATTCTGGATCTTCTCTCTAATATTCTCTCTAAATTACAACTACCTCTATGGTAATCCCATGCGGCAGTGGCCTACATTACACCTCAGCCTCTGTGTGCAGGGTTGGATCCAATTGTGTGTGATAGAACCACACAAATGTGACAACATGGAAACACTCAATCAAAAAGAAATGATTAAATACAATCTCTCAAAAAATTGTTCAGACGTTCAAGAGTTCAATTTTAAAATTCACCTGGATTACACTGTCTAGAAAGCATAATCCTACATTTCATGTTATGTCTGATTATGTAATTGAGGATGTACTGCTGTCTAGTGGCTAAAATCGGTATTAGAACAACGCAGCAGGAGATGTTTATCACGTCAACCGTTCGCTTACTATTCTCCTCATGTTCTATTTAAATACATGTTGAAGTAAAAAACATTATTTGGTGAAACAAAATGTATTTAATACATATGATTTAATACCAAAGCGCACAAACAAGCGAAAAGAGATTACATACATGTCATGAGTAAGGCCATTTTGACAACATTAAATAAAGTCAAAAGGCAATTATTAGTACGTTCCTATACATAATCTTTCTGCTCTGTGAGGCGAAACAGACATCAAGCTAAATACTACCATCCTCTAGCTAACATGTTGAGGATGTTACAAATGGTGGCACTAGAGAAAATATTAGGGGATTACTACATTTAATACAAATGTAGTAATGGCTACAAACTGGCTACAAAAAATATTGGCAACATTTTCACGACAATCCATCCAACAATTACGATATTTTAGTTTGGAAGAACATGCCGGATGGACAAAGCAACAGACATTTCTGTTCTTTTAGAGCCAGCTCCTCTTATGGCTTACAACGCGCTACTACAACTATACGTTATACAATTAATTCAACAACCAGTTTTTTGTGTCCACAGCTTTGGTGCATTAGATCATAGGACGTCCGTTGAACACATGATTCTTGATTGATTTCCACTCAAATAAAAACAGCCGTGTTGCACTTAATCTTCTGATGGTTGTGTTGAATGCTGCATGAGAGCGTCTTTGAGGCCTAGACGTCGTAAAGGCAGAGGAACGGGCGGTTGACTGTCAGGTGATTGAAGGGGGGATTGTGAATGCTTTGCGGACCCTCGAATGCTCATACGTCTGACATGAGCTCTTAAACTTTTCCCCGGCACCATCAGCAACCCACCTTCCTCTTCTACCAGACCGTCAAATGCTGCACCCATACTCTGCCGTATTCTCACACAGAAGTTGGGACAGCTGAAGGCGTATAAGACGGGGTTCAACACAGGGTTCAAGAACGAAAAGGTCGTTGCCAAGGGCAGTCCCACCTCCACCAGGTTGAGATTTTGGAGCCAATAATGGGCTGTCACTTCAACCACGCAGAGGATGTGATAGGGGGCCCAGCACAGGACAAATGCTGCAATCACAAATGTCACCATCTTGGTGAAACTCTGGGACATCTGACTGTGATGTGTCTGATTGGAGGCGGTGGGGGAAAGGGTAGCAGGTGTCAGGTGTGAAGATGAGTCGGAGGCCAGAGGGTTGAGAATGATATTAGTGTTTTTGATGGTTGTAGGGGTATTCGGAGTTCCAGATGCCCCATCTTTGTTGGAGGAAATTAGTGTATTAGTGGGCCGGCTGGCACTCTGCTTCCTCCTTCTGCTCCTGTTCCTCAGGCTGAGAACAATTTGGATGTAGCTCCCTGCAATGACCATCAGGGGAAACAGGAATGCGAAAAGCAACTTGGAGATGGCTGTTGCTGCTTGCCTCACTTTGCAATCTCTCTCCAGAGACGATGTATACAAGGCAAAATTATGATAGCACAGTTTCCTCCCGTCCTCTTTCTCTGTAACTGAGCGGAAGAGGAAGTACGGTATTGTGTTAATGATGGCCCACAGCCATCCCAACACGCACACCTTCCATGCTCCTGCCACTGAGCGATGATTCCAGCTCCACACCGGCTTGGCTGCCAGAAGGTAGCGGTCCACTGATATGGCTGCCAGCAGGAAGGCTGACACAAACATGTTCAGAAAGAAGATGGAAGCCTGCGTTTGGCAAAGTAGGCTACCCAGCTCCCAGCTATGAGACGACCAAAGGTAGAAGGTGAAGAGGGGCAGTGTTAGAGTTGCCAGGAAGTCAGACGTGGCCAGGTTCAGCACCCAGACGGACGCCACCGTGCGGCGCCGCAGGCGGAAGCCCACCACCCAGAGGATGACAGCATTCTCCAGGATTCCCAGGCAGGAGACCAGACCATGGATGAAAACGATGACCAAGTTGACCTGTGTGTTGTTGTTGAGTCTGTGCTCCTTCATCAGCTGTAGCAGGGGACAGATTGGCTGTCCCTCTGAGGTATCCGAGATGGGGGTTGTGTTTGACATTGCTGATCTGAAAGATAATAGCTAATGGAGAGATGATGAAAATCATTTAGGGTTCAGAATTTTGGAGCACACGTCTTTTGACTGGGGCTGATGGATACTTTTATGGTTGTTTAGTAAAAAAACAATTACTAAACTAAAACAATGATGGGCGATGATATGAACAATGGATTTGCTGATAGATCAGCACTCGCTTTTCTAATGATATACAACAATGACATGAGCACCCTAAAATAACCTCAGTTAACCTAAAGTTGAATTACAAATCTATTTTACTAACATGAAAATAAATACAATTGTATCAAATACAATTAAGTTAGATGAAAATAACGGCATGGCGGACATGACTACAGGAGATGAACCTTCTTGAACATAATTATTATTGTTAGCAGAATGCTACTGCGCCTTCGGTCTCCCATGGTCCACATTGTGCCAGGACATTCCACACGTTAGCATCCTTTAATGCAGCCTTTCAAGTTGCACAACACACTAACACAATAGAGGGGCTATCTGGGGATTTTCTAGGGGAAACAGCTTCATATATTACCTAGTAGGTTTGCAAACGAGTCTCACACAATATCAAATATTATATTCATCAGTATCATCTCTCCACATTCCACATTGTCTTGTAACCCGACATAGAAAGGGAACACACACACTACACTGTCCCTTTCAAACATGTCTAATCCTGTTCCAGTGGTCTGACCACATACCAGCTCGTTAGTTAAGCAAATACTGTGAGAGTATGTCAAAGACTTTCCCGGCAAGTTGTCAACGTACACAATTGTAGTAGTGCTCTTTCATGTTGTCGATATTGACATAGCAGTTGGCTCCACATCTCTACGCGTTTGACACTGTAACCACTCGCTGCTGCTCTGCTTTTGACATTTATTACAAATGATCAACTGACCTATTTTTGTCATACACATTATATTCCCCCTACACCCATTTACATGTTAGAGACACGTCTCAACACGTCTATGAAGAGACAGTGCAACAGTTCCATAGAAAACATAAAGATGAATCAACACCTCACTTTAAACCGTTTCAACAGGCATTTTTAACAGTATTACTTCTATGAAGGAAGCAATAATTGTACTGCTCTTTTTAAAAAAGATATACCGTATGTGCCTAGGTAGATAAACCTGGTGATAAACTGACCATAGAGTGTAAGTACAAGACAAACAAAAGACATTGTAGTCAGTCAGCCCCACATCCAATGCTAGATATATCCACAGATACCTGCTTCTCCGGTGCAGCGGGATTGAAGTTGAGACCGTATCTTACGTCAGAATCTACTCATTTACATATAAAACATATATACATGTTTTAGAGATGTATAATAGAAATAAATCATCAACCCTGCTAGCGGTAAGTAAACACCACGTATGATTGGGTGCAGTATCTCTGTGTTTAATCACATGATATGAAACTGAGCTGTAAATTTAATGCAATTGAAAAACATACCTACGATGGATGTATTTTGTCAGCGTGGACAGAAGTAGGCCTGCCACGCATGTTAGGAGAGAGGGAGTTTAATGTTTCATAATGAATTCCTTATGCGTCCCATTCCTCTTTGTACTAAAAGTCATGTCTCTCGTGCCATGTAGACACTCACTGAATCCCTATTGCAGACATACCTCCCCTTGCTCCACCCTTTAAACTGACAGGACATCTGCTGAGCGATGGGAAAATATAATTTAAAAGCAATAGAGAGACACTGGGAATTTGCATACAGGAATGTGACAGCAGTAAGAGAGTGAAATATGATATCTTTGATGTATCATTGTCTGCTGGACTTGTTTGAACTAGTTCCCCTAAAACATATTGTATACTGATAATGATGACACAACGCGTCAACTGAGAAGTGTCAATTAACCCAAGAACAGCATTGGGGAAAGTGACTACTTGGAATGTTAATTTATACCTGGAGCTTAATTTCCACAGAGTGTCATTCAACACTCCTCACTCAGCTACCTGATCACAAAAGGTTTAGACACACGTATTCATCAATATACATTTTGCTCCTCAGATTGATTTTGTCCAGTTTGTTTTTGTCATCCGTCGTTGTAATTTATATTGGTTGTTTATGTGTCCACATACATGGCTCCACTTGTTTTGTACTCACTTTTCTACACAGTAAAAAATGGAGAAAAGGTATATTTAAATGCATGGATTCATCTTCATATTCACATCTGAATAGTTAACAAATGTACTTTTAACTAGTAAAACATTGGAGATGAAAGTGAAAGAATACTCTTCTGTGGTGGTTGGGGTCCGTTAATGGGACCATAGCTAAATTTGACATTTAATAGAACATTTTGAATTCAATTCATTTGAAAAAATAAGTTTTCTTAAATGACCAACTGCAGCGACATATTCACTCGTTGCAACATATTTTCAATTACATTAACCAAAAAGTAATTCATTTATTTTTATTATATATATTTATTGATTTATAATATTCATTTATTCATGTGTGTATCAATGTGTTTATCGGAAACTATTGTCCAGTTGGCTTTCAGCTTTTGGTACAATTTTTTTTTAATGTATAATTTAACCAGCATTGTAACTCTATATTCTCTCTCCCTTGCTGTAGATTTATCATGACTTACATGCTGGGCGCTTTCTTGCTGACTTTGGTCTTATCAGGGCCCACATGGGGCTTTCTCTCCCGGAGTAACGGTCCCGATCATGTCAGCATATCAAGAATGTCTCTAATTCAAAAAGTGACAGAGACATGTCGGGCGGTGGCTGAAGCAACTGGTCAAGATTTCAAAATCACGGTAGGATGGAAGTTAACAAACGTGCATAAACATACTCACAGACAACAAACAGAAAAACATACAAGTACATAATGTTCTCCTCGCATTCATAAAAGACCCTTCAGCTGGCTGAGGTGCCTGTATGAACTTCACTCATTATGACCAACCAAACATTGACCTAAATTATTAACAAATCTAAGAAAATAATTGAGAATACATGAGAATATGGGGGGGTGTCATTTGTCCAATTCCTATTTTTGTGTCCAGCATCAATGTGGGCCCCACATATACAGTACGACTTGTTGTTGTAAACACTTAAGTGAACCCTGCATTCTGGAGTTGTAACCTCTAGCCTTTGACCTCTGGCTACAGGGTTCGTCTCCTGTAGAGCTGGTCCAGGCATGTCTGGATCCCACAGCGACAGGAGACGTGTCTGGTGCCAAGTTTAAGTCTGCTCTTCAGGAGATCTACACCCAGAATGGACTAGTAGACCGCGACTTTGTCAACAGGTGGGAGAAAAATCTGTTATGCAGGGCAATATAATATAGGTCAGCGTGTGCTGCTAAGCATTAAAAATGATTTTCTTTTACATTTATTTCAGTGCTCCACACCACTTCAACTCAGAGGCCTTTCTAGAGGGACGTGGCCTGATCATCGAGGGCCTGGTGGCCATTAAGGCGAACATTCGCAAAGAGAACTTCCAAGCAGCCAGAGAAACACTGGGCCGTGTCCTTCATACACTTCAGGTAGTAGGGGTGGAAAGAATCAGCTGTGTATAGAAAGTGTTAAATGAGGCAGAACGAGAGAGAAATAATAAAGAAATAACTGTCTATGTATGAAAGTGCTAATGTGTGTTTTTCCATTAACTATCAGGACTTCTACAGCCACAGTAACTGGGTGGAGCTGGGATATACCGAGCCATACATTAACCTCATACGCCCGGACCTTCCTCTGGAAAACCTGGCAGGTCTGTGTGTCTGTCTCCTACACAGTGATCATTAATGTACAAATATTTCTGTGGATTAGGTAACGTAAAGTAGACTATATACACATATTTTTAGATTTTGTATATACTTCCACCAAGGAGTATATCCAACGGGAAAAGAGTAGAGTGTGTTGTTTTGTCATTTGGCCATGCTACAGTCACAAAATGTACTTCAATCTGATTGGCTACTCTGTGGATTAGTTTCAGTTAACCGAAGACCGACCCCAAGATGACTAACTGTGGATTGTGTGTACCTTTTTCATGTATAGATGTCGGCACTGCCACCTGCAATGACTGTGCAAGTGGAAAGTGCCCAAATTCCATCCTGCCCAACATTCTGAAAGAGAAAAAACTCACATCAGGTTACATGGGAATCTTATCAGCTGACAAGCCCAAAGGTATCAGTGAAAACTGTTTTAAATACACATTATAATCCTGCTCAAAGGTAAAAAAAAGAATTTCCACAGCTAGTAATTTTTTCGACAACAGTATTACATGTATACATGGAAGACAACGATAGCAAAAAGAGGAATATTTAATTTTTCCAATCCGAAGAACCTTTTATGGGAAAATAAGTGGATGAGACCATCTGCTAGATGATTGGCTATAATTCTTAATACTTCAGATCAGGCCGACCTGGTCTAATTCCAAACAAAATTGACATGATATTCCTAAAAATTCAATTTTAACTCCCACTTTCCATAATGAATCATATGCTTTCTTGCGTTTTGGTTATTTTCCATTTTTTTCAAACCTTGTTTTATGAATAAAAACTTACCTCTATGAGACAGAGATGATCTTTACAATTACACCTGATTTATATATAGACCATTTTATTTAGTGCGAAGTGAACGGAGTTGCAGCTTAATTGCATATTCATCTTTTTCCAGCAGCTGGTTGGCTTCTTCAATTTATTTCTTAGATATTAGAGATATTCCCAGAACCATAGACCCCACTCCAGGCTAAAATTTTCTTTCTCATTCCCTAATTGTGGTTATTTGAAATGCTTCTCTCTATACTGTTACCCAATGATCTTCACTTTAGCTTCTTTAATAGTTTGTTATTAACTATTATTATTATTCTATATCCTGTTTTCTCTATATATACTTAAAACGTTAGTCATTCATTTCTCTCAATTCATCCCACTGAGGCTTTCTTAAAACCTGCCGTTCTGCTGTGTCTTCTAATCCCACCCTGCTGTCATCACCTACTCTACAGTAACTGGAATAATGATCACTTCAAACAGTAGAACCATTCCAAAACTCCCGCATTAAAATACTTTTAAAAATCACATGCTCTCTTTCGAACCGTTTAACTGCCGGTCCCTTCTGCCCCTTTTCCAGGTAAATGTAGCCATGGAGGTGCAGGTGACCTGACGAGCACAGCAGAACCTCGTGGAGGCATCAGCAAAGATGAGCGCCGCGCCGACAATGTGGCCTTCCACAACGCTGCAGTGAATGTAGCAACAGCCGCCAGCCTCCAGCTGCTGGAGGACATCCGGTTAGCTGCAGGGGACAATAACTTCCTGAGGTATGAAGTTCAGAACTCCGTCCTCTCAAAGTTTTACTTAACGATTTCACTGTCCACTGGGGTTACATGACCTTTAATTGTCACCTCTCTTTCTCTTTCTTACAGAATGATGGGGATTGCTCGCTCATCTGTCGTTTGTTTTGTTATTGACACCACTGGCAGTATGTCAGATGACATCGAGGCGGCCAGGGAGGCTGTTTACGAAATAATTGACAGCAAAAAAGGAACGCAGGACGAGCCATCAGAGTACATTCTGGTGCCATTCAATGACCCCGGTATGAACTGTTTTTTGAACAAAATACTTTGAGCCGGAGGTTTGTCTTGGTACTTAACCCCTTTTCTGTGCTTTGTACGTAGGGTTTGGACCTATGATTAGGACAAGAGACCCCGAAAAGATGAAAAGTGAGATCAATAACTTGAGGGCGTCTGGAGGTGATGATATCCCTGAGATGTGCCTGTCAGGACTTATGGTACCACAACTATGATCTTGACTAACTGAAATACAGATAAGTTCCATTAAAGACTGTGATGATGAAGAAGGAAGTGATAGGTTTCATTGTTGTATCTCTCCAGGTGGCTCTCACCGGTGCTCCTGACTCCTCCAACATCTACGTTTTCACCGATGCTGTTGCCAAAGACATTTATCTCAAGGACACTGTTATGGCTCTTATCAGTAGCACCAAATCAACGGTAAATACTGACTGACACCCAGAGACGTCCTGCGTTCATTCAGTTTTATGAGGCTTTATGAGACTTCCTGATTTCTACAGGTGTCATTCTTCATCACCAATCCCGTCGGGAGGCGCCGTCGTTCCGTGGGTGATAACTCTTTTGAAGACTATAAGGATCTGGCTTTGGCCTCTGGAGGCCAGGCCATCGAGGTGTCTAAGAGTCAGCTGCCTCAGGCCACAGATATCATTCTTGACACCTCCACTTCAGCTCTGGTAAAACGGTGCACTTCGTTGTATATGATGTACTGTCTGAAGCATCTAGCGTTCGGTTGTTGGTAAATAAAAAAGGTGCAAATCATTAGGCTCTTCTTTCCCCCCCATCTCTCTCAGGTGACAGTTCTTCAGCGAGCAAGGAACCCTGGGAAGCAGGAGACATTTCCCTTTGTGTTGGATGAATCTCAGAAAAATATCACAATCTACATCACAGCACAATCAATTACTTTCACGCTGACCAACCCGGCAGGTAAGAAACTATTCCAATTTGCGGTGTTTGCCCTGGTTTAAGGAAACCTAATACATTGACAATCATTGGGTTTCCTTTTTTTCCTCTGCTGAGAAAAGATATTTAAAAATAACGAATGAATGCCATTAAATTTCCAGGTGTGACCCAGAACCAT